GGGGTTCCTCTCCAGCTCCTGGAATCACAGCTTCCTGCAGTGTCAATGCCACCCTCAACCCTAATGGGCATCTTCAGCTCCAGCGGTTTCCAAATCTGGTTGCATCAGAATCTCTTGGGAGGAGTTATTTTTCTAAATCCAGGTTCCAGTCCCCAGCTCCAGAGGTTCTGATGTATTGGATCTCGGGCTTAGCTCAAGATTGGGCTTATTCAGGGGCTCCCCGGGGTATGTGACTCAGCCAGTCCATGCTTTGGGAGTAGACATCTGGTCAACCTTCTCATTCCTTATGTAGGGATGGGAGCGGAAGTCCAGATGGGCAGCGCCTTGTGCTGGGCCCCACAGCAGGTGAGAGGGCTTGGTGTCCCTACTGAGACTAGGGGAGTATAACACTCCCCTTGAGTACTTCCGACTTGACTTAACCCAGATTTTCAAAAGTTTCTTCAGTGAACATGAAACGTCTTTTAAAAATAAATACACATGCCACACACACACGTATGCACACAGTGGGGCCTTCAAATTTTCCACCAAAACCTGTGCTTTCTTCCTCCATAGCGACGCCATTGTAGCTGGGCCCATTTGCAATTAAGTGTCTTGATGGCTAAGGGGAAGAAATGATCAAGACAAAAAAAAACTATCTGGAGACTTCTGTCAAACGTGGAGCCCTGCACTAATGTTTGCAGACTTCCCAACGCTCCTTGCATCCTGCAGGCTGCCAGAGTGTGTACCGGAGGAGAGACGGGCACTGGTGCTGAGCAGAGCCCACGTAGGCCTTTCTTGGGGCTCGTTCCCAGAGGAGGTGAAGGGCCTGTGTCCTTTGGCCTGGGAGTCTCCCTTGCTCTCCTCCTGCATAGGGTTGAACATATTTAGCAAATAAAAATACAGGACACCCAGTTAAATTTGAATTTCAGAAGAAAAACAACAAATGATTTTTTTCTAGTACAATCCTCCCTCTGTATTCATGGGGGATAGGTTCCAGGACCCCCTGCTGATACCAAAATCCGTGGATGCTCAAGTCCCTGCTGTAAAACAGTGCAGTGTTTGCATATAACCTTCATGCATCCTCCTGGATACTTTAAATCATCTCTAAATTACTTATAATACCTAATGCAATGTAAATGCTACATAAATAGTTGTTATATCATACTGTTTTTTTTTT